CTGAACAGATATAATGCCTCATGCAGCAGTTCCCAGTTTAGTCATTTTTCTTTTCTTGAACAAAAGCATTGGGTTTCTGAGCAAAAGTCTCTGCAACCAGCAATGGGAAAACCAGAGAAGCATCAGCATAGACCTGATAAGAGAAAAACACGGTAGCTGAGATGACTGGTCCCTCTCCAAAATATTCATCTGTTTTTTTTCTAAATCAAATTGCCTGTCAGGCTGGTTATAATGGCAGTCCTGGAAATCATGCCCCCATCCCTGTCAGCATGTGATCTCTTGTCCCACACATACCTTGACAGGCTTGGCATCCATACGGATCTTTCCCCAGGACACTGCCTCGTCAGGCCGAGCTCCTGAATCTGAACCATCAAACTCCTGTGCGGTGTTGACATATACAGAAAAGTCAGCTCCATTTCTCTGGAAACCAAAAAAACTTGGTGACCTCTAAGGCTCAGCTGACTGATTATATCCTTGATTAGATATAGCAGGGCTATGATGAGCACTTCAGTTGTCATTAAGATCAGCATTGCCCTGATGTAGCTAATCTTTTCCAAAATGCAAGGGTATGAACGGGTGCTTTAGAGCAACTTCAAAAAATGATTATTAGACCCAATAATGATTTAACCTAATATTATCCACTCTGGCAGAAGAACATCAACATTCCTTGTAGAAGTCCTTCCAAGCCCTACTAAACAGGACAATGTGAAGAAGAATGGCCAAGGTCTGACCTTACATTCAACATCCAGGGAACAAACTCATAGCATGGGGTCTTCCTGATTATCAAGAATTACCATAACCTCAACTGGAAATTTCAGTTTTGTGGTGATGACCTGTCAATTGAACAACTCAAAGCTATACTCACAGCCATTTTAATTTTCTGGGGAACTATCCAAAGTAAAAATGTTCACCTTCTGCACTGTTGTCTGGTATAATGGATTACTAGATTGCCTTTAAATATTTGTTTTATTGTTGAAAGCCATTTTGTTAAAATTATAAGAACTGAGGGATACCAAATACCACCAAGATGTCTCTATATTCATTTTGCTTAAACAAATGTTTTATCTCATACCATAGTCTCTCCCTTCCAAATCAACCCTGGCTTTGTGGCTACTACACACCACTTTCCCTCACCATCAGATTTGCATTGGCAATGTGGTGCTTAACAAGGCCTCCACCCAAGATGATCATTCCTGTCTTCCTGGCAAAGATGGCTTGGGTATTAATGAGTTTCAGGTCTGTAAGAGAGACGACAATAATGGTTATGATGGAAGTATTGCAAATGCATTGCACATCTGAACAATAAACCTACAGCTGCAAGCTTTCAACATTCAGCATTTGCTAACCTCAATTTCAATGCAAGAACTCACTGGAAGTTTACACTGTTTGCTTGTGATTCCAGTCAGATTGGTTTGTGTGTGTGTGTTTCTTGCCCATGGGAGCCAGTGTTGTCCAAAGACATTTCCATGGTCATGTGGCCAGTATGACTATATGCCAAAGGCACACAGAAAGCAGTTATCTTCCCACCAAAGTGGTATCTATTTATCTACTCGCATTTGCATGCTTTCAAACTGATAGGTTGGGAGCTGGGATGGAAACTCATCCTGTCGTGTGGCACTCAGATCTCAAATCCAGGCTGTCAGCTTTCTGTACATATTTGGAGGAGATAAGTATCATTACTAAACAAAGAACTGAATGTTCCCTGAGAGTTAGGCTTACTGCATCTATTTACGGGAGCCAATCTCAAGTTTGAAAATTAGGAAGTTTTTAGCTATTTAATTTTATCAACTAAATTGTAATTTCCCAGCACTGGAAAACTCTCGATAATATAACAATTGAAAGTTTCTTTCAAGGTTACCTTTCAACTGCTACCTCAGAAAAAAAAAACTATAAAGTTAAAATAATAAAATATCAGGGGCAGAAACCATATTTCTATCAAATCTGGATGGATTTTATCATTTGCCTTATCAGCAATAGAGTGTGATGTCAATATTTTCAATACTGTATATGGTAATTTTCTACATGTATGGTACTGTATCTTTCCTTGCCTTTTTAGTACTTTTTATTTTCAATAGTTCTCTTCTATGCATCTTGCATGTTACTATAATTTAGTTACTTGATGTCTGTTAATCAGAGTTCAACAAATTTTTATAACTAAAAAAAGGCATATAGCATCAGCTCATAACCCTTGAGCTGCCTTTTTGTCTTAAAGCAGAAGTTGCAAGCAGAATACAGATTGTTGAGGGGCCAACTTATGTTGTAAATATTTTCATTCACCTTCTACGATGTCCAGCACAAGACCTGGTTTCTTATAGGAATGGAAGAAAATCATATCTCCGAGGGATCCATCTGTTATTGCTGGGCTCAATACAGGAATGTTATTCTGTTGAGAAAATATAAGTAGCATGGCTCACAGAAGCCAGAGAGGCACTGCCTGCATTTGTTTCATGCATTAAATATTTATTTTTCTTCCCTTGGAGCCCAGTTTTAAAGAAATATCTAGTCATGGGGGGGGGGAAGAACCAGCTACGCACTGGGAAATGAGTGGGACAGCAGCATCAACAATACAAAGGTCATGTGCAAGATCATATAAATACAGATAGACCTTGACTTATGACCACAATTGTGTCCAAAATTTCCATTGCTAAGCAAGACAGCTGTTAAGTGAGTTCTGCCCCATTGTATGACCTTTCTTGGCAAGTTAAGTGAGTCACTGAACTTGTTAAGTTAGTAACATAGTTATTAAGTAAATCCAATTTCCCTCTTGACTTTGCTTGTCAGGTCACAAAAGGTGATCACGTGACCCCAGGACACTGCAACCATCGTAAATACCGTTTCCCTGAAAGTAAGGCCTACCCAGAAAATAAGCCCTGGCTTGAGTTTTGGGGATGGGCCTAATATAAGCCCTACTCCCAAAATGTGCCCTAGTTTTGGGGTGAGGCACACACTTAAAAATCAAGCTAGGGTGGGGGAGGGGTTTGTGGATCTGCCCCATGCGCCCCGCATCCACTTACCTTGCAGCCAAGCATCTCTTCGCCGGCCCACTTCTTCTGAGGCGTCTTCTGCAGCCAGGCCTGCATTTCTCAGTCAGGCCTTCATTTCAGGAAACGCCACTGCAGCCAAGGACCGAGCTATGGATTCATCCATAACTCAGTGCTCGGCTGCAGAGGCCTTCCAGAAAGGCCTGACTGCGAAATGCAGTCCAGAATGCAGCTGCAGAATGAAGCTGCTCCAGAAGAAGTGGACTGGCTGGGCAGGGCTGTCGGTGCAGGAGGTGAGTAAAAAAGACACCCCCCCAAAAATAAGACTTAGTGCCTCTTTTGGACCTGGTCTTATTTTCAGGGAAACACAGTACATGCCAGTTGTTAAATGTCCGAATTTTGATATGTAACAACATGGAGATGCTGCAACAGTTATGTGAAAAATGGTCATAATTCATTTTTTACAGGGTTGTTGTAACTTCAAATGGTCACTAATGGTTGTAAGTTGAGTGCTACTTTTATAAAACAGGCCTTAAGGTGATCAGAGATTAGAAAAAAGGAGACATTCCCATTATGCAACAACCAAGACAAGCACTTATTTACAAAGAAGTTAAACAACGGATTAAACAGAAATTACTTTCTCAGCCTACCTTTTGTGCCCAATAACAGACTGATTCTGGATTGTTGATTTCTTTG